CATGTATCCTGTATTGTGATCTTAACACTTTTATCTCAAAGGTCATAGATGTTGAACTCCTGAGTCATCACTTATATTAGTTTATAGCACATATTTATTGCATTATACACAGTTGTAATCTGCTGTCAATTGTACATGTATAAGATTTACTTTGATGGTTTTATTATGTCCTTATTTGATTGTTATTTCTTTGTATGTCTTGATTTTTCCGTATGTTGCATTGTAGGAGGAGCCTGTGACTAAGCAGTAGCTGTTTTGCAGATGACCATAAAGCCTGTAAATCTCGATTGTTACCTCGGTCCATTTGTCTCCCCCTGTGCTCTGCAGCAGCACACACAAAGGATCAGACTTTGATCCGACATCTTTATCCAGCAGGTCAGTGCAGGAGATACACAGCTCCACTTTAGTGACACAGTCCGTCATCTGAGGGGGACAGACAGAGACCATCAGATCACACTCAATGCAACAGAAAACTAAATGAGATCTGACTGATCGTTTAATAACACTTGTCCCATGATTATCATTGTTAAATTGCAACATTTTCTTGTTGCAGATTGTCAGTTGGGAGTACTTGTTTTCTCTGTGTTAAGCATGTGACAGGAAGTTGAACATTTGTGACTTTTGCACTCGGACAAAAGCAGCAGCGGGAAGATGCCAACGTAATAAACCACTCAAGTGATTGCACTAAGCTCTACACTAACAATAAAAACATACAAACCAATATCTACAGCTGCAGACTTTCACTGTAGTCAGTTCACTGCTTCGCCACAGAGATAATAAAGTGACAAACAGTAAGAAAGTAGACAGTATCATTTTATTGGAGTGTTCTGCTAACCGGTTCCTTACTTATCTCATCTTTTACCGTACCAACTGTCACATCTCTTCTACACATGCAAAGGAGGCAGCCAGTCCTCCAACAGACACTGAATTCAAGTACACAGCTAAAGCCTCGGAGAATCTTCATCAACAACTGTTATATTCGAGGCGGGGCTCTCTGTGGAGGAGAAACCCTCTGAAGAGAATGTGTTCAACCACCGGAAAATATATTATGTGACCTGAATGGAAGTGATGAAATACTGAGATGTACGGTTACTTTTATACTTTAAGTGCATTTTGCTTATACTTAAGTATAAAAGTAACTTCATGAATGTTTGTCTTTGACTGTTAATTGTGTTATTTATACTTTTACTCATATTTCTCTGCCACAGTTGACAATATGCATTAACAACAGTGTAATTTCATTTGAATGTGTGAATGTTTTTTTTTTTTTAACTTGTGTGGTTTGACAAGCACAGCACCATGACTTTCATTTGGGGGGGGTTAGGGTATGTGTATGTGCGTTTCATTTCTGTCGGATCCAAGTTTCTTTCAGCCTGGTTTTGTTCCGTTTCTCAGTTATTTGAATTGAATTTCTTTGGGTTTTTTGTCCAGACTTTCCCTAGGTTTGTTGAACTACTTTAGGTAGTTTATACTTCGACTCCATTATATTTAAGAGGCACATTTTGCACTTTTACCTCCACTACAATTATTTAGCAGCAATAGTAACTTTTTAGATTAAGACTAGTTTATAAATATGATGCATTATGACAGACTAAACTATCTAACAATATATGATGCAGACCAATTTAGAGTCCATTCAACAAACTACAAAATAGATTCATAATCATTTACAATCCTTTAATAAAACACTGACAGAGGCACATTCTTCAAATGTAGTACCTTTAACTTTGGATACTTAAAATACATTAAGCTACTTGTCATTTTTGAATGCAGGACTTTTACTTCTAAAGGAGTATTTTAATGTGTAGTAAAGCTGCTTCTATTTAAGTACATGCATGGGATACCTTTACATCTATCTGATCATAAACACACCCATCGAAGGAGTTAACTGAACACAGACAGTTTAAATGACACACCTTAACCCAAACTACTGCTGGTGTCCTACAAGTTGACCTGACTGCTCACTAAACAAATAAGAAAAGCTCTCAGGAGACTGAAATGCAATTGTCTTATTCACATATTCAATGATCTGAGCGAGCAGGGCCCTAAAGGCAACATCAGCACTTGAAGGCAACACCCACATGAGACTGATAGGAAGTTAGCTGAGGCAGTACAAATAGTCCCCAGCCAAAGCAGAACGGTAAACACACCAGTCATCTTTCTCTGTCTTACAAACACAACACAGTGTCAATATAAACTTTGTAAACCACCTTATCAGCGTCGATATATTTTTATCTTCTTCAGACCACAAGAACAAACACCTGGGAGGAGGAAAAACTACTCAAGAGTCCGTAACAGGAAACGACAGGTTTTGAATAACAGTAAACAAACCTGGGAAAGCACTAACCTTTACCTGGACACTCCGCTAGACTCCTTTTTAAGATTAACTACAGCTAAAGTTAGTATTTTAACTGTATCTGAAACAAAAATCAGCAGCTCGTCGCCGTTCAGCAGTTTGCTAAAAGGGAGCGGCACACAGACATACACGCTCTGATTGGCCAAGCAACTACACGTCTACGTTCTGATTGGACAAACAGCTTCACATCCGTGTCCTGATTGGACAAGTCCAATGTCATTCACGCCCTCTAGGTTTACACGTTTTTCCAGTTTACCGCAGCAACAACAAAGACTTCCGAACCAACTCCTTCAAATAAAAGCGGCACCACCACAAGTCAATCAGTTCCTACAAACAGATTTTTCTGCAATAATCATCTTATAGTTTTTTTTCTGTTCATTTAAAGCAAACTCCAGCAACACAAGAAGTATAAACAATATATTTGTTTTATGTCACATGTCAAAAGACCATGGACGTATGAGAAGCGTAAAAAGAAACCAGAAAAGCAGCTTAGGTTGAAATTAGGCAGCTTGTAGCAAGTTATTTGTTCCTCTTGACAAATAGATTGACGAAATGCAGAAAGGATTGGTCATTTGCAGTCTACCAGCCATTTATAGCAATGTGGCTTTGCCCTATTTCATGAGCTTCTGAATCAAGTTGCCACAAAACCAAACAAAAAGAGGCCAAACACCAAGCAACACTTGCAGTATAAACATAAACTTTATTAATTGTATTTAAGTATTGAGTTTTTTGAAAAAAAGGAATTAATATATTATTCTTTGGCTAGGAGCAGTTCAATGTGTCCTTTTTTTTAAAAATTGTATATACCACTTTATGTGGAGATTTCAATTCCATTAAGAACTTTCAGCAAAATCTTCCTTTTGGAAGTCAAGAGTGAACTTCAAAACTCACTGGTAAAAATGTAATGTGTGTTTCCAAATCAAACACTACAATACTCAATATGCCATTAACAGATGTAATGTCCCAATACATACCATGTCAAATCAGTATGCAAAAATACCAGAATGTCAAAGTAGATGATCATCAAGAAACAGGGGTGTCAAACTCAAATGCACAGTGGCACAAAATTAAAAAATCGGGTACTATCGGAGGGCCGGACTGGTTCAATCTCTATTGCAAAACTTATTGAAATGAACTTATGCACATATTAAACCTTGAACTAACAAAGCTTAAATATTGCCTATAAACAACAACATTAAACATTACCATAATCAGTAATTTCTCCATGGCTCTATCTGCAGCTTTTTCCGGAGTCATTTCTTATGATTACATTTTTCCCACAGGCCAACACCAGCTTAAAAAAAACTATTTCCCTCAAAGAGAAAACCAAACATGCCCTGTTGTCTCAAGAAACAAAGTGAAGAAGGAAAAATCCATGTAAACTCAGTGCGCTGCTCTGTGATGCTAGTTCAAGCCAGATACTTGGCATCTCATTTTGGGTGCAAGTTCATCAATGTTTGGGGTCAGGCTCTGAGCTGAGGAAACCCTCAGGATTGAGTGAAGGTGCAATATACCGGCGGGCCAGATCTAATAGTAATTCGAAATTATCCTGCGGGCCGAAATTAAATCCACCAAGGGCCTGATTTGGCCCCCGGGCCTTGAGTTTGACACATGTGATCAAGAGGGTCAAAGTTAATATTGCAATGTTACATTATGAAGCAGTATGTCCCAATTGTATGAATACTGCATGCAACAGTGCATACTTTGTAAGTGCAGGTGCAGCATGTACAAAAAGGAAAAGGAAAAACGTGTGCAATGTGGAAAAGTAAATGTGCTTTTATGTTGAAGGGCAGACTCTCAAACCGGAAGTACTGTTGTTAAAGCTAAAAGCACTGTCTGAAAATCAGATTTACTGAGATAAGAGATAACACAGAAAAGTCTCAGAAGTATAATGGGGATCAGAATACACAGCAGAACAAACTCAACACAGCAGGATCCATCCTCCTCATAGAAACAACACAGTTTAATTGTGTTCATCCTTTGCAGTAGAGACACAGTGAAGTCAGAAAGGGCAGCAGCGCGTCACATCGCTAATGAGAGACAGGACAGAAAAGACCAAACATAGAAAAATACAGTTCTCAGAAAACAAAAAGGCATCATCTCAATAACCAGTGTCCTGTACATGGCAAACACACAAACACGCACACTCCTGCCACAGCCGTCTTTGACTTTATCATCTATTGACCCAATTCCCTGGAGAAAAAAATAGTCATAATCATACAGCTTTAATGAAGAGCACTGACACAATGTGATCCTGTCAGATGGACTTGGGAGGGAATAAAAGGGACAACTGGATTCTACTTAATTGTTGTAATTTACCTCGATAAATAAAAATAAATTACTCAAAACGATATCAGTAATTCTTTAATAATCCTTAAACAGGAAGTGTTTAGTGACAGTTTCAAAATTACGTTTATCATGCAACTGGACTGAGCTACTGTACATCACAGCACTAAAGCTATTTAAAACATGTTCATGGATAAATGGATTTTTAGGATTTGCTGGTAAATAAGCAGAAGAGAATGGCCCTATATGCAAACATCTACACAGATCACCTTACACTATCCTACACATGGCACCCTCTTCTTTGAAAGTCTATATAGATCTATTGTAGTGGTAGTCCCATTACTCTAATTTTATATATTGTAAAATGCCTGAACATTAGGCATATTATTTATTTTATTTATGTATAGTATCTAACTGAGCCAACACTGTGAAAGTCATTGGTAACTTAATGTGGCCCTAGTTTACAAATGTTATTGTCTCTCAAGGACAAAGAGATGCTGCTCTCTGCTAAATGCATTGAGTGCCTATTTATTGTTGATTCATAAATTAGTACCTTTCTTACATATTTTACTGTTTGGTTTAATGATGTATATGTATTCAGTTTATATATTTAAAAACTAAAAGGTCCATTGCAGAGTGGAGATCTACTGAAGCAAACAGAGACAATGCAGACAGCAGTCTTTAATAGATGACCATTTATGATTAACAATTTTGTATCTGTTATATTTATAAAAATGCAAAAAAAAAGGAAAAGATAAAGCAAATTATTTGGCAATATATATCGGCCATTGGCTGGCATGCTCCAATATAATCGGCATCAGCCGCTGAGAAATATTGATCGACCAATACTCTACAGGCCACTGGTTTGTTATTATAGTCTAGTGTTATTATTGGTAATTCTTCATCTTCTAAATGGAGCATCTTTGTATCCGTCACTCACCTGAATGTCTTTCTTCTGTCTTTCTATTGATCAATCAGAGGAAAGGGGGGGGGGGGGGGGGACACCTCAGCAGGTGAATGCTTGATATATCAGTGTCAGTACATCTGTCACCCACTCTCACACACACAGACTCACTGTTCAGACTTACATCCTTTTCAGAAACTAAATCTGTCATCAGGATTTTTTCTTTCATGCCAATGCATTTCTCCAATCACTAAGTGCTAAACACAGACACAATCATCTTTACCAACAACTACTTTGTCTAGACAGGGTTTCAGTTGACTTTATTAAAGCCTGTTTATCAATTTCTATCTCAAACACACACTTGCATGCACAGCCGGATGGAATGTCATCATTGTACCATGGTTAGGAGGTTAACCATTTCCTGAAGACTCTTCAGCCAAAACTACTTAAACGGATGCTTTTTAGGTTGAGTACTATGAACCTGTTAGAGAGGCTATATTGAATTATAAATCTGCAGCATAAATAACATAACAGAAGAAAGAAAACGGCTACAGTGATTAATTAGATTAGATCAAAATAGTTGAAATCTATCATAAAGCACCTATTCACGCAAAAAAACAATACAATTTGTGTATTATTTGGTCAAAGGCCGGGTTTAACAACAGCAGAGCTAGAGCTAAAAAGATGTACGTGAGAAAGTTTCACATCCATCTGTCATCTCTCAGCTGAGCTACTGGAGCACCCCATGGTTTGGAACTAATTGATTGTCTTGGGATAATTGTTGATGCTTCCCCTTATTTTCTTATTTTTCTCATGCCATTAAGAAACAGGAAGTATACACCGTTTCATATCATTGGTACCACTTATAATGGGTCATGTCCAGTTACAGATTATCTTGGAGCTACTTTCAGAATGACAACAGTGCATACCAGTTATGTGACAGAATTGATTAAATTCTGTTAGTGAAAGAAAAATCTGATTACCAATGTTATCCAACATTACATAGCTGACTTTAACATAAGACCAAGGTACATGTGCCAAATATGCTTACATATAGCTGGTAAAGAAACCATACGGCCTGTAAAACTTGATGGACTTTTGATGGCCACCAATGTAGCAGCACACAGGATTAGTCCTGAATGTCAAGATGGCAAGGAACACAACTGTGGAATTAAGTGTTGTGGACACCAATTGAGCTAGAGCCACTGACGCTCTGCTAAATCCACTCTAGGATTACGTTAGGGGGCGAGGTGATGATTAGGTCTAATGTAATAATGCACAATTAAGTACATAAAGTTTAGTCTTTTTTACATTCAATATTTTCTTACATGCATTATGTGTTCAGAAACAAAGCTTTGATTGAAATGTAACCTAACTTTAATATGACCCCATCTGATTGATGTGGGCACTTTCTTGAGAAAAGGTAATAATTTAATCTGCCATTTATCACTCCTGGAGTTGCCTAAATGTCAAATGACATTAGCTGTTATGTTACCAAAAGAAGATTCGCTGCAGGAAAATCTTGAGGTGGATTTGCGAGGAAATACACAAGTGGTTCACAAACAAACTTCTACAATTAACACAAGGAGTTAAACAGCGTATTAGCAACTCAGCAGCTTCAGCTATAGCATGCATGCTAAGAGTTATTTTAAGTACCTATATTTCATTGAAGATGTTGAAGAGAAGATCATCTGTATTCCAATTAAAACCCAACCAGACTTCCAAAGTTTTACAACATTAAGAAATAAGCAATTAACTGAAATGTAACCATTATTCAGAAAAGTTTCCATCATCAGACAGTGAAGAGCAGACAGTCAGAGAGAGCTGATCGCAGGAACGTCCTTTTATTAGCCAAAGCAAAAGGAGACCCACATCATCTATGGTTATACAAGTTTGTTCACACTGACAATAGACAAACAAAAAGAAGCTTGAAGGTGGAAACATCCAACACATT